GTAAATGAGAATCTATAAAAGGGGACTTTTTGGTACTTTTTCGTCCTTCGACTGGTACTTTTTGGGTTTTCTATAAAATTTAACCTAGAAACATGAAATTAAGCATGTAGAGCCTGGAGTAAATGAGAATCTATAAAAGGGGACTTTTTGGAACTTTTTCGTCTTTCGACTGGTACTTTTTGAGTTTTCTATAAAATTTAACCTAGAAACATGAATTTAAGCATGTAGAGCCCAGAGTAAATGAGAATCTATAATAGGGGACTTTTTGGTACTTTTTCGTCCTTCGACTGGTACTTTTTGAGTTTTCTATAAAATTTAACCTAGAAACATGAAATTAAGCATGTAGAGCCCGGAGTAAATGAGAATCTATAAAACGGGACTTTTTGGTACTGTTTCGTTCTTCAAAAGGTACTTTTTGAATTTCCTATAATATTGAACCTAGAAACATGAAAATAACTATGTAGAGCCTGGATTAAGTGAGAACCTATAAAAAGGGACCTTTTGGTACTTTTTCGTTCTTCAAAAGGTACTTTTTGGATTTTTGTGTAATATGGAACCTAGAAACGTGAAATTAAGCATGTAGAGCCCGGAGTAAACGAGAATCTATAAAAGGGGACTTTTTGGTACTTTTTCGTCCTTCGACTGGTACTTTTTGAGTTTTCTATAAAATTTAACCTAGAAACATGAAATTAAGCATGTAGAGCCCGGAGTAAATGAGAATCTATAGAAGGGGACTTTTCGTTCATCAAAAGGTACTTTTTGAATTTTTTATAATATTGAACCTAGAAACATGAAATTAAGCGTTTAGAGCCTGGATTAAGTGAGAACCTATAAAAGGGCACTTTTTGGTACTTTTTCGTTCTTCAAAAGGTACTTTTTGTGTTTTTTATAATATTGATCCTAGAAACATGAAATTAAGCATGTGGAGCCGGAGTTAGTTAGAGTCTATAAAAGCAATCAGGGACTTGAGTGAATGAAAATTTAAACTGGAATATTTTCTGGTACTTTTTGAATTTTCTATAATATTGAACTTAGGAACATGAAATTAAATAAAATAGGTTTTTTGGTACTTTTTCGTACTTCACTGGTACTGGTACTTTTAGAGCTTTCTAAAACATTGAATATAAAAACATAAAATTAAACACTCAGTATCCCAATTGAACGAAAATTGAAAAAGGATACTCTGGTACTTTTTTGTTCTTTTACTAATACTTTTCGAATTTTCTATAATATTGAACCTAAAAACATAAAATTGGACATGTAGCTTCCTGATTGTACAAAAATCTTTATGCGATTTTTTTGGTTTCTGGTTGAAAATTAAACATGCGTCATCCTGATTTAATGAAAATATATAAAAAGGCACTGTCTGGTACTTTTTAGTTCTTCAACTGTTTTTTTTTTTAATTTTCTGTAATATTGAGACTAGAATCATAAAATCAAACTTAAAGAGTTCTCTAAAAGGGGAATTTTTGATATTGCAGATATATATACATTTACAATAATGATATTTATTTTATTCCATTACGATGAGGGTAGCGAAGCACACTGGGTATAGCTAGTAATTAATATAATTAGAATATCGAGGGACTATATTCAATAGTCTCTATATAAAATAACACAAGTTTTCAGGAGAGCAAAAAAATGTTTATTTAGCTAGTTTAGTAGCTAGACCATATTCTAAATCGTTATATAAAAAGAATTTAAAATTTTGCTTTATTTGCAAAATTATTCACAAATTTATATCAGATAGAGCTTTTTTTCTACGAAAAATTTTTTACAACCTTCAGATAGAGAGTTTTTTATAGAAATATAAATTTTTTATTTGATTTAATATCAATAAATATTATATTTTATTCAACTTAATGAAGTAATATAAACCAAATTGTTGAAAAAGCAACAGATTATAAGGTTTTGGTCCAAAATCAATGTTATATGGTTAAAGACGGCAATAAAATTAATCAAATTAGTATCATAATGAGCGATATCTCGAAAACTATTAAACTGATTTCAAATATTTTTGCGGATTTGTATGTCCAGTTTAGTAAAAACACTTATTTTGCAACAGAAAATTATCCAAAATAATAGAGTTTGAAGCAATTTTTGGATAAGATAGAGAGTTTTGCATTCACAATTTTTCTTTTAATAAGATAGAGAAATTTAAAAATTCTTATAAAATTGCCAAAAAAAATATTTTTTTCTTTTGAAATTTATGTCCTGATGCTAGTTTGCTAGATATTTTCCATCAAAATCTTATTTTCATGAAAATGACAGATTGAGACTATTGAATATAGTCCCTCGATATAATCTTAAGATTAATAAAATTTAATTAAAAACTAATTGTTATCAAAAAAAAAAAAAAGAAAAATATACTCTGGTACTCCAAATTTATCAAATTTTGTCGAACTGTTTTATTGTTTACTTCAAAAGTTGATTTAGGTATCATTTCAATACAAAGCAAATAAATTATTCGAAACCGGGGTTTTTAAAGTAAAACAAGATTTATGCGAGCCCTAATGGTACTGTCGATTTTCGTAATTATCGGGCCTCATTTGATCATATAAAGCTTTTCTAGTGATGTTTTTTTTTTAATTTAGAAAATTTGCAAAAAATCTAAAACGTTTCAAAATTTTAAAATTTTTTCTTTGCAAGAATGATTTTGAGAAAAGTGTTGAGCTTGACACTCACATTAAAAAAAAAAAAAAAAAAATCTGAAATTCTTAAAAGTCATTACTTCTAATTTGTTACCAATTCCGGATCAGATATACAAAGTATGAAACTGAAGTAATATTAAGGGGGTTCAAGAAACACAAATGGCTTTCTGTATTATTTAGAAGAGAAAATTTTGTTTAAAATGATCAGTTCAAATAGCGATCAAATGTTGTGGAAGTAAATCCTATACAATTTGTGACAAATGCAATGTAAGTAAAATCGAAAATGCACAGGTCGCACAGTTTGTAAAGCTTTTGAACGTTTATAATATAAACGTTCAAAAGCTTTACAATAAACATATAAACTTTATATGTTTATTGTCATTTCTTTTTATTTAAAATCCAATTAGTGAATTTTGTATGAAGCTGGAGTGTATCATCGTTTTACGCGAATCTGGATTATGTTATTTTTTTAGGTAACCAATTAATTGCATAAAACATGATCTGTGTCTACACGAAATTCTTTGAAACGACAAAAAGATTTTAAATTACATACTCATTACTCTAATTATCTAAGAATTACCCACAATATCTGTATTTCCACACGATATGGCAACACTGCGATCGACGAAGGTACAAGAACCGACAAACATCCAGCTTTCATTTAAACGAATAAAAATATTTAATATGAAAAGATTTTTAGAACTAGTTCTTCTTGTAGACAACTATAAATTTATTACTAAATATATTTAATCAATTAACTAAGCAATTAACAAGCTTACAAGAGTAATTTAAATATAACTTCAAATTTTCAATGCATGTGTCACACTTTGAGTAGGAGACATTTTTATGCTTCTAATAAGAAAATTTTCAAATTTTAAAGTGAATACATTAGTTTGCTGTCTTGTTTAAACACTTGATTAGATTTTTTAACATTTCTCCTACGTTTAGAGGCACTTTTTATTAAAATTTTACAATTTTTACAAGACTGAACCGTTTTAAGGCGCACTTTGTTAAATTGCTGATGGTTTACTAACTAGAATAGGCGAGAAGGACAAGCAAGTAAAAGGAAGTGTCAATGTATCAAACGGATATAAGAGTTGCCGAATTTTACTTAAGTGTTAATATTAAGGGAAAGAAATATCAATATTTTTTTATTAACGGGTTAATCGACCTGTTATAAATGACTTAATCCATTATAAATAGAAGTAAAGGAAGAAGTTGTTTACAAAACTAAAATATAATAGGGAACTCTACACAAAATTAAGACTGCAGGTTTGGAGAAGTTAATAGGATTGTTATGTTGTTTTATGCTCAAAGTATTATTTTGACAGTAATTTTAATATATTATTAGTTTGTTATTAAAATCTATTGAACAAATGTAAAACTGTTCCTCAACATTATGAATGCGAGAATTTTATAGTTTCCTTTTGATGCTTTCCATTTGGTTTTACAGACCTTGTCCTTCTCTTTGTTTTTCAGCTCAGGTGCATATTCGAATTCTTTTTATTACCTTTCTTCTTCGCTTCACTAACAGTAATCTCTTTTAGTAATTTGTCACTATGATTGTTTAGATCATGTGTATGTTTAATTTTCTCCATGCCATGATTTGTGTAGATCCTCTGAGGAGCTAATTGCTACATGACTGCATACACCTAATATAACAAAGAAGGGTTGTGACGTGATACTTTCTTTAACACTAATGTCCATTTGGTTTTTTCATGTTGAGATTTCGGATCTTCATCTTGCTTTTCTTCCGTTTCATTAGCAGCTTCCTATTCAGCACCGATGGATATGCTGTATTTCTGTATTATTTTCCTTAGCTTTAACTAAAGCTTGTTTTTTAGAATAACCACGATTTTGGAACTACTTAATGAATATAGGTGTAGAACTGCTCTGAGTCCATCACATCAGGTTTTCGAGATATGTCAGTATAAAGTTTAAAATAATATTTTAAAGCAAATAGATGTTTCTCTAAGATGACATGAAAAATTTTATAAATATTATTTTGCTCTTTTTTAAGTCCTTGGCCTGATATATCTCGAAAATCTGATTTGAGCGATTCTACTCTTTAGAAAATTATACTCCATTAGAAACCAAAAAGAAACAACTTTTGTATATATATGTTTAAAATTTAAGCTGATTCCTTATATATTTTAAGTATTTTTCTTATTTTTTAATTTATCGATCACCTATATATATAAATATTTTAATATGTATGTATGTATGTATATATAAATATTGCATACTCCAAATATTTAATGAGTTGACAATATTAACAATGTGTTTTACTATTTTTTCAAATTTAATTTTGCTTTATTTGCTATGAACTCATAGAAAAAAATCAGATTTTGTTATATCAAATAATTCTACATTTTATTTTACTTTTTTAAAGATTGATTTCATTAAAAAAAAACATATAAACTAAAATTAAAAATATTTTTTTTCTTTTGTAGTTAAAAGCTAAATTAAAACCTTAAAAAATAATTTTGAAATTAAAAAAAGAAATATTACAAACTATACAATTAAAATAATAATAAAAAATATTAAAAAAAAACGAAATAAAATGAAAATTTTGAAATGAGATTTTCTTGTAATGATTTAAGGGGTTTGCGGCAAAATTAAGATGTCATTATAAATAGTATATAATTAATAATCTTAAGTGTACAATTTACAATACAATAATTTATTTCGAATATTTTTTAAATAATTTTAATTATTTAAATTAGTTATAAAAAATTAAAAGTAAATTAAAAAATATAGTTTTAAATTGTATAAAAAGGTTTCCAAGAAAAAGTAAAATGGGGTGCAAAGTAGGGGAAGGGGGAAAAGGGCAAGATTTACTTAAAATCTAAAATATTTTATATTACATTATTGGTTATTTCTTGTTTGTTGCTGATGTTGCTGCTGGTGGTGTTGTCCATCTTGCAGTTGTTCTCTTTCAATATTGGCATTATTGTTATTTTCAGCAATTTCATTGATATTATCAAAATTAAATGTTGGCATGTGAGGCGGTAGTTGTTGGACTAAATGTGATGGCGGTACTGGTTGTCCTGCAGTTACCGCCGCCGCAGTTGCCGCTACTACGGATGAACGACGACTGAGAGCATCACTTGATTCGTTTAAAATATTTTCAGTCTCTTCAGTGTTTAAAAGCCGCCGTTCAGCACTCGCTGACGCTGCTGTTGTGCCGGAGGATATTGATAATGATGTTGCTGTTGGTGGTGGTGTTTGTGATAAAGAATTACTTAACAAACTATTACTACTCGATGAAATATCTTCCAAATATGGATGTAATGCTAAGGCTGCTGGTCGAAATTGTGTTAAAACTTCTTGATTTTGATAATTTTGACGTTCTTCTAAATTGTTACACAATGTGGAGGAATCATCATTGTTAACATTATCACCATCATTTAGTTCATTTTCATCTTCATTGACATCATCCTCCTCCTCCTCGTCATCCTCTTCATTTTCATTATCAACCTCCATTTCTTCTGTGACGGGTTGTGCTTCTAAATTAAGTTCTTTAGCTTGTTCTACAACACCTTCAATGGTCGCCGCCGTCTCTTCTTGATTGTCTTTCAATATTTCCTCATCATCATTGCTGTTGCTTGAAGGATTATTCGAAAATTGTGGTGTTACATCAATAGCAGCAGATGTTATAGAACTAATTTTGAATACTGGTTGCAGATCTTGTGATGTATGAGGTTGTGGAAGTTGTTGTTGTTGTTGTTGATCTTGAGCCGTATTATCTTGAGAATCAGTTCTAGTATATTCCTGAGGAATTTGAGCTTCATGCGATGAACCCTGTAAAGTATGTGGAGGATTTTCTTGACTATTTGTTGGTAATTCGATATTTTCTTGAGAATTTCGTTCGGCACATTGAAGTTGTTGAGGATGTTGGTGTAAATCTTGTGTTATTGGATTTCCCAGACTCATGCTTAATTGGTCTTGTCTAAGTGGACCAGAATTTTGTGTTAATTGTGTGTCGGAATCTGAAATGTTTGATACTTGGCTGGTATTTAAAGTTTGATTAATTTCTTGGTCTACTCCCAACTCAAATGGTTGTCCCAGTTGTAAAGACATTTCACTGGCTTGTATATTTTCCTGCTGGGCTGTTAAAGGCAGTGTTGCTGGTAATAGTTGAGTATTTTCAGTTTGTGGTCCATTAAATGTCACGGGTACATTAGAAATTCCAATGCTTGGGGTTTCCATTGCTATATCACTATTTTCCGAAGCACCTACAACTGCTGACAAATGTGGATTTTCCGCCCTCACGTTCTCTAAATCTTGATTTGCTTGTAATGTCTGAGATTTGTTAGGATCATCTTCTGTTTGTGATATTAATTCATTCGCTTCACTAACAGAAGCCTCTTTCAGTAATTTATCATTATGATTGTTTAGATCTTGAGTATGTTCCATATTATCCATGCCACCAGTAAATTTGTGAAGATCCTCTGAGGAGCCTATTGCTACTTGACTGCACACACTTGCTATAACAAAGGAGGGTTGTGACATGTTGCTTTCTTTGACTTGAATACTGTCAGCTATGTTTTCCTTAACACTAATGTCCATTTGGTTTTCTAAAACAGGTTTAGATTTTGGATCCTCCGTTTCTTTAGCAGCTTCCTTTTCCAGTGCAGGTGGATATTCGAGTTCTCTGTATTCTCTCTCTTCCTCAAAATCTGTCTCAACCTCTTCTTCTTCCTCCTCTTCATCAGCCTCTTCTTCATCGTCCTCTTCCTCTTCTTCAACCTCCTCAGCTTCTTCTTCATCATCGATTTCTTCCTCAACTTCTTCATCGGTTTCATGTTCTTCTTCAGCCTCCATATTTTCATCAGTATTTGCCAATTTTTCATCCTTCTTTAAGGTTCTATCCTTAATACCATGTGTACGACGTTGGGCCTTGCGTTTTCTTTTAATGCCATTGAAATCTGCATAAGATTTAACAGATTTTTGAGAGATTTGTACGTCATTTATTTCGATATCCTTCTCTTGTTTGATTGTTATATTATTAAAATCAATAGAAGAAATATAATTCTGTTCCTCAGCAGTATGAGTATTCGATAATTCATCAGTTTCCTCTTGAGGCTGGACTGTTTCGGTTTGTCGTGGCGTTTCGACTAAAGGTTGTTCATCGGAATAACCACGATTTTGGGGTTCTGGCTTAATGAATATAGGAATAAAGTCGCTGTCGCAGGGAGCTGTAGGCTCCAATGTTACACCACTGCGTACGGCAGTAATTTGTAAAACAGGCATATTGGAAGGTTTTGCTGTTGATTTACACGCCTTATTGCGACTTTTTGTAAGGCTTGGTGTAGATTTCACTTTAGATTTCAAAGCTAGTTTAGTTTTAGGTTTTAGTAAAGGTTTCTTTATCTTCTTAGCAATAATGTCCTCATTGTCAATTCCTGTATCTTCCGATGTCTTGTCTATGTCTTTATCGTGTTCATCCTCTGCCTCTTCTTCCGCCTCCTGTTCCTCATCAACATGATCTTGTGCAGATTCATTGTCATCATCATGATGATCATCTTCATTACTTTCCTCATGATAATCTGTTTCTTCCCCTTCATCCACATCACCACCATTGCCTTCATCATCATTGCCATCATGATCCATGGGTTGCTCTTCGTTGTCATCTGTTTCCATGGCAATACCGCTGCTTACATGAGATATTTTCATCATACGATCCAATTCTTCACGATTTGGTTTAACATCTTCAGGCTCAGCTTCATGATTTGTAGATGCCATTGTTTGTGGTGTTTCAGCAACTGCACTGGCGGCTCCACCATTAAATTCAACGCCACTCGACACACAAGCAATTTGAAATTGCATCATTGGTATAGACGTCATGATTGTAGCCTCTGGTTGCGGCCTAATTTGTATAGTGCTGGCCACAGACTGCATATCTGCCGCATCTGTTCCATCTTGAGGTTCAGTTTTAATACGTATTGTTGTTGCAGCTGCCATATTCTCCTCAGCATTATTATGACCATTCGAATCTTGTGACATTTGTTCGTCCTGCAAGTCCTTAGACAATTTTTGTTTTTCTTTCTCTTTATCCTTATGTTTCTTTTTCTTCTTACGTTTTTCGGCTCGTTTCTCAGAGGATTTCTGTTGTTCTATTATGGATGAATTCAATTGGCCATGCTCCTTTTTAATTTTTAATTTAAGGCCACCACCACCAATCTTATTGGCATTGTCTTCATTTATTTCATCAATTTCTTGTTTAATTTTAATTTGTTCCACTGATGTTATTTCGTTGGCCACATTAGTTTCGCTATTGGGCGCAATATTTCCAGCAGCAGTATTTGCTGGTTCATTTTCATAATCGGAATCGTCATCATTATGATGATAATCATCTAGGCCACCAACATGAGACTCATTATGCTCATCATTATCACTGTGTACACCAGCACATGGTGTTTCCGGTTCCACATGCACCTCGGGTTCATGTTTAATACTAACCAAAGCATCTAAGGTTGATTTCAAAAGTTCATCAACACGTTTTAAATCTTTCTTCGAAACACCCTTTTTGCCACTCCTCTTGCTGCTTGTACTGGCGGCATCATCCAATCCCGTCATTGAGACACATTGATTAGCTGCCATAATGATAGGTGATGATAATCTCGTTAATTGCACCACCGGAGCCATATCCAGAGGTACACCACTGAGGCGTGCCATTTCTTCGGCAGCCGCCTCAACATCATTTTCATTTTTAATACGCACCGCATCCTCTAATGCCTCCACGGAGGGCATAATATGTTTCGAATAGTTTAAGTAGACTTTGGCACACTGTGCGGAATGTTTTATATATTCGGCATCATTGCGCTGTAAACGATTGCATCCAGCACAACGTTTTGTTTTCACAGCACATATGTGGATATTGTAGAGATAATTCGTAGCATACGAAGTGTGACACTGGGGACACTCACGATCTAATACGAGTAGAGCTGGTGGTGTTTCGAATGCATGCTCTCGTAAATGTCTGCAAAAGAGAGATAAAGAGTGGAATGTGTTTTATTTAGTGAAAAAATAAGCTGGAGATGTTGCGTACAGACGTAGGCTTTATATGGGAGAAATAGTACTTTGATAACAGTGTTTACATGTCAATTTAGAAACATTAAGATGAGCAGAAGTAACAAAAACTAGTCAATAAACTAGTACTTAAACTATTAATATATTATAGTTAATGGACTATTCCATAGACTAGTCTATTCAAAACTTATATTCACATTTATTTGACCAAAAGTTTTCGTAATAAAAAAATGCAAAATCTCATCTCACCTTGAAAATGCATACGTATTTAATATAGACTCGCCGCAGCAGCCGCAGACATAAGGTGTTTTCGAAAGTTTATGCCACAATTGATGATTTTTAATATCGAAACTTTTGCTGAGTACCTCGTTACAGGCGGTGCAAACGAAACGTTCAATTTTAGGAATATGCGTAGTCCGCGTATGGGCATCGAGATTAATTTTAGCAGCAAAACGTTCCTTACAAATATTGCAGCCGAATTTAAGCTTTGATGCAGGCGGTACTTTTGCCGCTGGAGCAGGGGCTGCTGCGGGTAAGGGTTCTTCCTTAATTTCCTCTTTGCTAAAATGATATAGAGGAAAATGTTGTTATTTTCCAAAAAATATAATTTTAAGTTTTTAATTGGTTTAACTTTAATCAAACCTTACATTTCTTCTTTAACATCTAACTCAGCCGTTTTACCAGGTTTCTGTTTGGATTTCTTAGCAGCTATTTCTTTTGGAGTAGGCGCTGACATTTTTAGTTTCTTACTACTGACCGCAGCAGTTGTTGCTGACACTGGCGGTGAGGGTTCCTTTTTCAATTTACTCTCTTCAATAAAAGCATTTTTTGTTTTCTTGTTACCGACGGCTGCGGTTGGTGTTGCTTCATCATTCGTTACGGTAAATCTCAACTTTTTCTTAGTTATTACTGGTACTTCCTCCTTAATGCTGGTTTCTGCCACTGCAGAGAAACGTAGTTTTTTCTTGGGCAGAACAACCGGCGTTGCTGGTATTTCCTCCTTTAAAGCCACCTCCTCGGTTTTACGCTTACGATTAGCCTTATTGTTAGCAGCAGGGGTGTTTGCAGTATTATTAGTGGGTACTATAGATTCTTCTTTTATCTCTACTTTGGGTTTTATATCCACGGGCGGCTTTTTGACATTTTTTAAGCCTAATAGTTTGCGAGTTTGGGCATTTGTGGAATAGCACATTTCACGAAACTCGTAGAAATCATTGATTTTATCCACACACAAATAGCACATACTCTGTGGCATTTTATCATCCTTTGTTACCTAAAAAAAAACATGAAAATATATTGATAATTGAAATTAGTACCAAAACTATCCCCCGCCCTGCTCTCATAAACACGTACCGATAAACCAAGTAGTAAATTTATCTTTTCAGCCATCTCCATTTCAGCCTCCACATCAATAGCTGCATTTTCTGGCTTATCCGTGAGTATTGGCACCATATCTGGATTATCTATGCCGCAAAGACGACATATTTTATATAAATTTGCCTTAAGTTTTTTGTCGATTTTTATGGCAAAACGTTCCATTGTGAATCCTGTCTCTCTTACTACTCGGTATGTGTGTTTTCTTTTTTTCCTACTACGGTCCGTACAAACTTATGGAAAATCTAGAAATTTATTTAATTTTTAAAGCTTTCACTTTGTTTTTTATTGTTAAATATTAACTTAGGTATCGCTGATCATTGTGTATTAATTTATTTCTATACGATTTTCATTAAATTGTTTTTTATTAAAATTTTTCACAAGAAATACACAAGCAACCCTCTCACAGTGTTGTAAATTTTCCTTTTTTGACAGTTTAGTAAATTAAAAATCAATGTTGCCAATCGGATTGTAGGCAAAATGGTGAGTATCTATCAAACAGCTGAGTGTTTAGTGAGAGAGAGCGAGTACTCATGCATAGCGAAGAAAAATGTGTTCGATTTTCGACGAGTTTTTATGGGTGTATAGAAATTAAACGATTAAGTTTATAATTTCATTAATTTTTGGTAAAAGCCTTTATGTATATGTTTGTAAGTAATAATTTTAGGTTTATTAAATGGAAGAACTTTAAAGTAGACACGACCCAAGGGCATGCCTTGACTCGTCCCAGTTTCAAACCTGCAATAAGTTGGGTTTTTATATATTTGGTCTCTTAAAATTACAGGTTATAGATTGGATTTTGGGTTAAAAAGTTGTTCAACACAAATTTCATTAATTTGTATTTTTCATTTAATTTATATTTTTCATTGATTTTTTTCATAAATATACATATATATTATCTTTTATAAAATTTTATAAATTTCTGCAAAAATGTATCAAAAATTTGCCATTAAATTACTTATGTAGTAACTTAACAAAATGTTGCAACAAATATATACATACATAGGTAAAGATGAAACAATGGTGGCTATTTTGTAAGAAAATATTCATTATACTTTTAATAATAAAACATTATGTATATATCTGGACAAAATATATATTTAATACATTTTTTCCTAAAAATACATTTTTAAAAATTGTGCTATAAGCAGAAATAGAAAACCGAATCATCAGATATTTTATTCTAATTGTACACAACTCTAGCATTGCTTCCAAGTAGGGTTCTATAGTTTAAACAAAACGTCGACCTTTCGACTTTCTGTCGGTTTTTTACGTATGTATCAAGGCGAATTCATATAAGGTGGTGTTATTCAATCAGCTGATAATTTTTTTCTTAATTCGCCTGGTTTACGTAGCTGTCAAAGTTTGTTAGGCGCAATTTACATGAAGACTTTTCAGACGTCTGTTTTTTCCAATTCTCTTTTGAGAATCTTCCAAAAAATCATGAACATTTATACGGTGATTTTTTACATGCAACTATGCATGTCTTTTTTTGATGTTTAATTGTATAATCCTTTTTAATTACTTATTCGTAATAAAAATAAAATGAAATTTTTAACATAAAAACCATTTAATTTTTATTTAAAAAAATTTAATTACACGCTATAGTATTTTTTTAATGCAAATTTTAAGGTTTTCATGTAAAAAAAGACATAATTATTTTTTTACATGAGCAGTACGAATGAGTTTAAAGAGGAATGTCAAAAACAATCATGAAAATCCCAAATCATGTTTGTTTTCTTACCCCCCATTCTTCTCTATCCCGCTCACCACCAATCATCGACAAACATGAAAAGAGACGTCTGGGCAAACATGAAAAAAATCATCGTGTAAATTGGGTGTTATTGTTTACATTTTTATAAGAAATTTTGACTTTTGATTGTCAGGGCTACGAATAGCACGTGTTAATTTTTATTTAGTTTATTTTATTGATAATTTTTGGAAGATTATATCACACTGAAACGTTATTTTTCATATTAATATGGTTTGGCCGGAATCTAACAAAGGACCGGTGGATGTAAAGGTTTCTCGCCCTAGACACTATGTGCATGGTACAGGTATTTTTACAGCGTTTATTGGTTCTCGCGGGACTGACGCCCTTCCCATGGTGAAATTGGGAAGGAAGATTTATGATAAGTATGAGAATGTGGAGATATTTTATGTGACTAGAAGAAGATCAGAATAACATCTCTTGATTTGAACGTGATTAACCGTATTGTACAGGATGAGGAACTGCTCAAATCCTTTACTGTTTACATTCCATCGGACATGTGTGAGGTAAAGGGTGTGTGCCCTATTCCCGTGGATTACTCGGAAAAGGAAATATTCGAGGGTGCTTGGCCCAAGAATATTTCCAAATTCGGCTCCTTACCTGACTATTGTAGGATAACGGAGGTATTTCGTTTTACCCGTACTGTTGATGGTGGGCGTATACCATTTGACTCTGTCCGTATTTGTTTCTCGGGGGATGACCTACCCTCTCATGTTTGTGTCAACCGGGTGAACTTTCCGGTTATGCCGTATTATTCAATGTAGAAGATGCTGGCGTTTTGGTCACACCGATAGGGTTTGTACCCGGGCCACTGCTGTATGTGGCAGATGTGCCGACACTCATTTGGATGTGGCGGGTTGTAACACGGCCTTGATGTGTGTGAATTGTGGCGGCCCACATGAGTCCTACACAAGGGAATGTCCTATTTACAAGAATCAGATTAAATCTAAGACTGACAAAGCCAATTTATTAAGACCAAAGTTACCAATACCCTAGAACAGCACCCTCATTTAATTTGACGAACTTCCCTGTATTGACACCACGCCCAACTAGTGTACCTATGAAGAGAATCCGGGCTGAAGAGCCGGAGTCTACCGTGGTTATTTCCAATGCTTCGACGACATCCGATCTCAACGTTTCTGCGGACATTGCTCGCAGACCTGCTAAGGATCGTAGGGTTACTGGTGAGTCCAGTGGTGACGTGATTGAGGAGAGATTGTGTTCTAGACTTATATTTACATAATAATGACATTACAGTAGCCTGCCTTTCGGAAACCTTTTTGAACGATGCTTTTAAACTTAGAAATTTTAAGGTCATCAGGAGGGATAGAGGTGATAGTACGGTTCATGCTGGCGGGGTCGCTTTCATTGTTCGCAACGGTATTGATTGCATCAGTTTGAATATCTCATCCACTAACAGTTTGATAGAAGTTTGTGCATGTAGAATATCCACAGTTAACGGTCCTATCATTGTTATAAGTTTATATATACCTCCATATTGTAGATTCTCTCAACGCGATCTCTCCTCTATGTTGACTACAGTGTCGGGCGGCTCGTTGCTTATCTGCGGCGACTTTAACTCACACAATGTGTGTTGGGGTACTTGTGGGAGTAATCTGAGGGGCGATACTGTTTTGAATTTCATAGAGGATCAGGATCTGGTTCTGCTGAATAATGGGGAGCCCACATTTTGCGGTAGATCGACCTCTTGTATAGACTTGTCCATATGTTCATCGGACCTGGCGTTGAATTGTGATTGGATGACTCAAAGGGAAACCCTTGGCAGTTTACACTGTATTATACATATCCATCTATCCGTGTTATGAGCTGACAAACACCATGACTATTTTGTTCCAAAAAAGTCGATAACTCGACTATCGACTTTTCATAAAATGCAAAAAGTCGAAAATTCGGCTTTTAACTAAATGAAAAAAGGCGACTTTTCAACACGTTTCAACTTAGAACCCTAATCAAAACCTAAAACAGTGTTGATAACTTCAGTTCTTATTGAGTCCAAAATAAGCACGATTTATTTCTAAAAATATATGATTTTTTCTTTTTCGACAAGTTAATAATCTTATTGCCCTTATAACAATGACACGGTTACCCTGGTTACCGAATAATAACAAAAATATTATCAGAGTTGCTGTTTTTATTTAAAATTGTTTGACATTCGTACAGCTAGATTGTCACACTTATCAATTATTGCATAAAAATGGCGTCTATTGGAGAAGAAGAAAACGTTTTACAAGAAAATTCTGGTGAGTTTTTTACTAAAAAAATACAATAAAATTTGCTAAATCTTTAATAAAAATATGTAATGATAACACAATAATAAGTATGAATATATTTTTCTAAAAAATATCTAAATATAAAAGAAAATAACATAAAAATTGCAAAACGTTCAAAAGCCACATGATTGACAGTTGTAAAATAAACGTGAAGTTTTTTCGTCAAGTTCGACCACAAGATACATGACTAAAAGGCGGCTGGCAGACTATCTTAGATACGGACTAAATAAATACAAACATATTTTATGTAGTTTAATATTAATCGATTTTTTTTTTTTGCGATTTAAGGACGACGCACTCGTTCCAGCAGACGTGTTTCTGGTACACAACCAGTCTCCTCGCCAGTGCCCAGATCCACCAGACGTTCTAAGAAGCAAGAACAGGTTAGTAAAGAAGATTGTTATATGTATGTGGAGACAAAGTACGCCAAAATAAATGATGAAAAACATTGCATTTGTCACTACAGATGAGGCGTTGTTCCGTCTGTAGATGATAGTTACCCTTTGATACCATATCTCGTTATATGGTGTTCAAAAGGCAGCTGCATGATTTATTGCAAGGGCCATCTGATAATGTGTAATTACTAATTGTTTGCGGTTTTAGAAATTTATTTTTTGTTATAATTATAAATTTAAAATAAAATTTTAATTTTTTTCTTTACAGTTGACTGAGCAAGAAGAATTAGTACACGAGTCAACAACAGACGCAGAACAAACAAATATAATACAAGAAATGTTGGCAGAGGCAGCTCAGGGAAATTTAATGGACTCTGCTGGAGCACAAGAAAATGCTTCACCCTCACATCAGGGTGGACAGGAGCAGGAAATAATTGAAGAAGATATAGTCGAAGAAATTATCTCCACTGAGGGTGATGAATGTGTGGTCTATGAGGAACAGGTCATTGAAGAGATCTATGAAAATGTGCATGAGGAAAATCACGAGAACATAGCTGCCAATTCTGATGCAAATCTTGATGAAAAATCATCTTCATTTCCATTTGCCACTGAAGAAGTAGGTCAATCGGAAACATCCGAAGATTTAAATGAACAGCGTGAGAGCAAGGAGGAAAATAACGAAGCCGAAAATCAGGGCACACAAGAAAACTCATTATTGGCTTCTTTAGTGGGTGATAATGCCAATAGTTTACCCTCGGTGGGTTGTGGTGCCGAGTCAGAAAAGGAACATTTCGAATCTAAAGTGTTGGAGGAGAATTGCGAAAAATTAGATTCAGAGGATTCTCTATCGGAGCCAGCCATAGCAGAAGATGCACCAATTGCCAGTGGCAGTGATGACACCATGGTTAATACAGAAGTAATATCTGAAGATGAACTACCACCACCCACTAAACCGGAAATTAATGATGCCGAAGAGGTATCCGATGA